ATAGAACTCCTCAGCACGCGCTATCTCGAATTTCCATGCAATATTTCCCACCACAGAATAGGACTACTGCCGGCACCCAGCTGAGACCTCTCCTATAGCTGGATACGAATTTGCCATCATCAAGGTAGTGGAAATCGCAGGTTATACTCCAGAGCGCCTCTCTATTCCGAGGAAAATAGAGATTCAAATGGTTTTCGGGATCTTCAATGCCATACTGTAGGAATACCTCATTGGACAAGGCAATGCGCCTAAGGGATGGGTCCACATCGATATGCACCCCAAACCGTACTAAGTTTTCTTCAACACATCCGCGAGGGTGGGAGCTTTTCAAGGAGAGTCGCAGTTCCGTAAATCCTACTTGACTCACCAGGATGATGAGGGTTGGTGGGGGAAATAATGGTTCCAGTGCAAGAACAGTCCAGGTAATGTTGTTTAGGCTAACCAATAAAACAAAAACATCGAAGGGTTATATGAAGTGTGTTGGAGCACGGCAAATTGGTCCGTTTCATCGCTCATACCCAAGCAACACAATCACCGTGAATACGACAGTACTGGGAGCTCTTCAGGAGGCAAACGGTAGCCACATCCTCCGCGATTGGATGCCTGCTAGCGTGTGGGCCCACTTGGCAAGCATTCACCACCTGTCTTTTTGGAAAAGCAAAGGGCTTGATGAGGACTATATTAGTCCATAAGGGGTTGACTATATAATCTGTTTTTGATTCCAGCATCTTGCCTTGACGACCGTTCCCTCTGTGATCCACACGCTGAATGTGTGCCTGGAGAAGGAGGACACTACGTCTGCAATTGCCACTACGGTTATCGTGGCAACGGCCGAACATGCACTCGTTAGTTCTTTTTTGTCAAATTATATTTTCACATACTTTTCATCTGAAGGTTGTTCTTTGAACGGATTCCAATGAAATGCTCTTGTATTTAGCTGATTCCGATTCGCGCGATGACGTTCTGCTCGTTTCTCGAGGAATGGCAATTTTCCACCGAGGAATAAATCCAGAAGTGCCCGGAAAGCAGGTAGGCCCACCGTTTTACTGACTCCCTCCCTTACGTTATCTTCATTTTCAATACTTTAACTCACCCTTTTAGTATCCTAAAATTGTCTTCTGATAGATATTTTTCACAATCAAATTGATGTCATTGCTCAGAACAAAAAATAGAGGCACAAGATGAACCGCCACTTTAGAAAAAGGAAGCGAAACTGCCGAACATCAAAAATATGACCTTGTTGGTGCACGAGTTTACTAAAAAGGCCTATATAAACTATGAGAGACAGAGTGCGCTAAGGAGAACAGACACAGGTCAGGAGAAGACAAAGCAGGCGAGCGCTGGTGCGGCCCTGGTGCATAGACCATTTTACCATGAACAGCGGTGGGACAAGGCGCTTGTGCAATCTTCGAATACTTTCAAGCTGTGAGAGCTTTGCTTCTCCTGCGGTGGGAGCGTTTTTTCTTCGTCGGTAGCTCTGTTCTAGTCACCAGAGGATTTGTGGTCTCTCCTGGCTGCCTCTGTGAGAGATTGGTCTTAATAGCGGTAAGGACGAAGGTAGATAATAAAGCTGTGAGAACTTGCGTTACAAGTAAAAACACAGTGATCTGAATTTGTGAGAACGGATCGAAATTTTATCCTGAGATCAAAAGCTAAAAGTTTGATTTTTGCATTCGTCCACTCTAATAGACACGTTTTTTAATTATTTATTTATTTATTGATGGATCACGGAGAAATGAAAATACAGAATGATAAAATAGTCTAACCAGAGGCATGATTGACTGCATTATTAGAATGGAGCAATAAAATGTGGTATACGGGAGACTGAGCTGCTCAGCAGGGTTCATTTTTGGAGGGAAAAGTCTCGATAAGGTCCGAATTCGCAAAAGGAGAAGTATCTTAGTGAAAGCAGGGGCGAGAATGCGTGACGACTGCGGTTCGCGAGGGAGGCTCAGCGGCTAGTGGCTAAACAGGCGCCGCTGCGAGGCTGCGTGCTCCCTTTCCCGCCGTTGCTCTAGATGCAGCCAGAGAGAGCGCGCGTTGATGGAGGGGAGCAACGATGAGAAACGTCTATAGGCAATCATCGGCGAATGGGCCATTTTCGGTTCTATAGAGCATTTGTTGGTTTTTTTTTCAACCTCTGGCATACTACACCCGCAGTTTTCTTCTAGATAAGGCTTGTCATGTGAATCCTTTTTATGCAACATGGACCGTACAACTGCTCCATCTACGATGACGGCATAACAAGCCGTAAGTCGAAAGAATACCATCAAGCCAGAGTCTTGGGCCCTGAAGCCTTACCCCTAATCACACTACTGGGTCAACGTGCGAAAACCACTTTTGACCTAAACACTGTCTCCAGTGGTTTGCTCATGGGTGCTTACAAAGGTGATCCACAAGTGCGCTGGTGCGCTAATTCCAGTTTAGAATCTAAAGACGTGATAGAGTGGCCTGGGATAACGGCAATATTCCGCGTCACTGGTTCTTCTTCTAATTGTTTTTTCTTTATACCAGACAGCATGTTGAGTGTTTATCTTGAAGCTTTGTGATGCTGTAAATGAAAATGATAATAATAAACCATACTGAAAAGCAGTTTGCAATTTCTCTTCTACAGCCCCGTAGGTTGTTTAATCCTCCGTTCTCGTGTGTTTCGCAATTAGTCTATATAGTGACACCGTGATTTAGCATTCGAAATAAACAAAAAATAAAACAAAAACAAGAACGAAAAAACTGGCCAAATGTCTATAGTGGCGGATTTTTTGATAGAAATGACCCCCCTGTTGGATGGCCAAAAAACACTTTCGCTCACGTATGTATACGTTTCTTCGTTCACATACAGTTGTCATATTGGATAAGGTTGAGCTAAAAATGAACTTTTTATGAAGATCACGAGTTGTTTTGTTCGTCTATTGTTTAATTCTAATGATGTCCCTCTATTTAGCTGGTCGTGAATACCTCATCATATCGCTGTCGGTTTGGACTATGACGAGCGATATTTCTGGTATGTCTTTTCTACAACTAGCGACATTACTGTAATGCCAAATAGCGCCACATAATATGCGCTTAATTCGGGGTTAAATCTGAGATCGAGTACCGCCTGAGCAAGACAGGTTCTCTAATGCTAAGGTGCCGGATAACTGATGAAAGAAGGTCTTTTCTTATGATGTGAAAACACTAATTTGTACATCAGCTGGCTCTTCCAATTGATTGTGTAGCTTGTACTGCATTCAAATACCACTACGATTCTTGAAGGATGTCGAGTGTGTGACGCAGCCCAAATTTGGCCAACAATTGATGATTATCCTCTTATCGTTCATTTATCCATTGCCAGATTTGTCTCATCGCAGCTTCCTTAGAACTGGTTTACAATTAAGAATCTTACATCGAGCGTGCATAGCTTATTCCTAGAAGCACGGCAGATTTGTACCGGTTGAACAATATTCATGATTCGCCTTTTGGACAATCGAGCGATTGCAAAGGAACACTCTCGAGTTGCTTTATTGGCTATATGCATTTCATATGCGTTGATGATTTCAATAAGGTGCTAGCAGGTGTTTGCAGTGCGGCGAACTATTCTTAAAGAATTGATAGCACTAATCATTTTATATGTCAACAACTGAAATGAAACTTGGTATGCTATTGCGTACATCACATGAGAATCTAAAAGTGTAGAACTTGGTGGTCCTAGTTTCACTTTCGTCGCCATGGTACGTGCCCCAATCGTCAGCATTTGAGCTCCTCTGCTTCGCTGTTCGCTACCCACCAAACCGGCCTACTGTCCGTTTTAGAATAATATGTATTGCAAATTTCTTCAACAGCTCCTCCCACTTTGGCGCACGCTCCGCCCACCTTGCCTTATTCCCCACTCTTTCGCTAACCTCAATCCATTTTTCCCCCGGACTTCTGACTGTCTTAAGAAGGAACTCTAAGACCTGTGGCAAACAAGCCGAATTTTGTTGTTAGGACGCACTTAGCCAAAGCCCTGAGTGGGAGCCTTCGCTCATATGAGAGATTGGTAAACCTTAGAGTCTGCTATCCACTAGTTCTTCTTTGGTTGTTCTTGAATCAGGTTCTGAATCTTACAGTAAGCAATGCCATTTTTAAAGCTTCCCTTCTCCGTGCCATTTGATTTCTCTAAGTGGATTGTCCCAACTCGGTGCATTTTTTGTA